GTCGCAGAGGGTGGGAGGGTCCCCTCCTTTAGGGCAGCACAACCTCTACTCTCTGCGCGGTGGGGAAGGGAGCGTGGGAGGCAGCGCCCCTGGGAGACCGGGTCACAGAAACTACCAGGACCTGGAAACTGACAAAGCCCTCGGAACGCAGCGGGGCGAGAAGGGGCAGGACGTCTGGGTCTGCCCTACCACTTCCCAGGTGCTCGAGCTGCCCACTCGCACCCCGCTCTCAGCTCACGGCACAAGGCCCCTCGCGGGGCAGCGAGGTGGGAGCAGACCATTGCTCCGATGATCACACGTCTGCGGGGTCGCGCACGCGAGGCTCGGCTTCGGAAGCCAACTCCGATATGTGTGTGCAAGGAAGGTTGCGAGGGCGATCGGGACCGCAGACCTGGGGCTTGAACCTGCGGAGCGCTGCCACCGAATCGTTAGAGCGGGCGGTCCAGGTTCTGAACTCCTGAGGGCTGCCGCCCCCACGCACAAACAGAAAGACGCTCACCTGCGGAGGCTCTGTGGGGAGGAGCTTCGCCAGGATGCCGAAGGCGCCCCTGAGTTGGTCCAGGGCTGCATCACCACAGGGAATGCTAAGGTCGGTGGCTGAGACCTGCTGCTTACTCCCAAATCCTATTATCATCTCTGTCCAGCTTTGTACTTTCCAGGGTCATCCTCCCACCGCCTAGTAAGCTGATCCAACTGGATCTGCTGGTAAGATCAGATGGGAGATCATATTTCCCGGGTCAGACAACAACGGTGGCAGCACCAGGATTAAAGGCAGAGGAGGACACAGGCAGAAGTCTAGGTCCAGGTAGGCCAGAAAAATACACAGGGACTCACGGGACCTGATGTAGGGTTTCCCGTCGTTTGGGAGTTTTGAAACTGCTGGACAGAATATGCTTGATCTGCAGAGAAGCACTTAGAAAGTTAAAGGTGCCGGAGAAAAAGTCCCTAGTGGTCCAAGAGAGACTAATCCTAGACCAATTCTCCCTTTCACCAGAAGGTGCCCCTTTTATCACTAGAAACCGATTCTCTGATTGGTTCAGCCCTGCTCCTTCCACCACCATCCCAAGCCAGTCAGAATATACTTTGACCAAAAGTTTTTCTCCCCTCCTGTCCAAGCCATTCAGAAGCAAGATCACACTGTAAGTCCTGCCTCAAGACTGCTCATCTGGCCAATCAAGCCATCCTGGTCCAATTTCACCATCCTCCGAATTCCAGGGTGGCCAGTGGTCAGCATCTCTGCATCCTGGCTCCCCTTACCCTCCAGGATAAAGGTTAGTGGCGGTGGTGAGAGCAGCAAAGGGTCACTTGAACCCTCTGACTGCCTTGCCCCTCAGAGAGAGAGAGAGGGAGAGAAAGGGAGAGAGAGATCGAGAGAGAACACAGTATACCATGTACAAAGGAAGCAGGGAGGTGGGACAGAGCCCTAGTTTTACAGGTCTGGGTTTCAGGGCCACCCTGTCCTCACTACAATGACCGGATGTGAAGTAGGGCATCACAGCCTCCCCACCATTGAATTGGTCCAAGGGGTGGTTGTGTATCAGACAAAATAAAGCACACAAGGGTTCACCTCTGAGATTGCTTCAGGAACCAGGTTGAAGCTGAGAGAAAGCTTAATGTATTCTCATGAGCTTATATAATCTTGTGCATGCAGGTCACAGTGGGCACATACATAACCGGAAGGGATTGTACAAGAGGCATAGAGGTAACTAACATGAGGGGGACGAGCTAGGGGTATCCATGCAACAGGAAGGGAGGCACTACAGGCATACAGGTGACAGAAAGGCACATATGTAACAAGATGGGTGGGCTCTAGGGTCAAGATGGCAGCTCACCCTTGATAGTTTCTCTGAGCTGGCTTGACCTTAGGTGTCTTTGAGCTCTTCTCCAGGGGAACAATCTATGATCGTTATGAGAAGGATGGGGCAGACTATAGGGTCTGATTGCCTTCAAGCAGTTGACCTTCAAGCGTGCAGTGAGTGACCGTGTGTTTGCAAACAACACCTTACATTTGGCATTATGGGGGAGACATCCAGGGGAATGACTTTTACTTAGGAGAATGTGAATGGGATGCATCTCCAACCCACAAACTCGAAGATTCCCTCTTCCCAGTTCTGCTTCCCACAATGTGACTGGAGAACCATTCAGCATGTTTTCCAAAACTTAGTGTTTGTTTGTTTTTGAACTTGGGGTCTTAGGTGGGATTGCTTAGTCAGTTTGCGACTATCAAAAGTGGATTCTGAGCTTTCAGAACTTGGGCTGGTCCTGAGTTGGCACAGTTACATAGGTTCTCTGACAGCCAACTCAGATTCTGTGTCTCACCATCCTCCAGAAGATGGTGTCCACTGAATATACTAGATGGGGAAAGCGTTTGGAACACTCTCCACCACCCAGTGAATGTCCCGTTGGTGATTTGCTTTCACTCACTCACTGCCCTGGAGTCAATGCTGACTCACAGCGACCCTATAGGACGGCGAATAACTGCCCCTATGAGTTTCTGAGACTAACTCTTTATGGGAGTAGAAAACCTTGCTTTGCTCCTGCAGAGTAACTAAGGACTTCGTGGCTCGCAGCCCAATGTATAACCGCGACATCACCAGCCCCCTGGATTTGGTAAATGGTATTTTGTAAGTTGAACCTTTGGTTTATTGAGTTGGGCCTTCAATGAGGGGAGTATACTTTTGGGGTCAGGTAAGGGGATGACTAGGCTCTGTCTCAGGTATGTGGTACATGGATCAGCCTACAGAGAAGAACATCCTGCTTGGTAAGGTAGGGGCTCAGCAAAATAGAGGAAAGCTTCAACTGGATCATGGGGGGGGGAACCCTTTTTTTTGGTCAAGGGTTATTTGGGTATTTATATCAATCACAGGCCATACAAAATGATCAACTTAAAAATCAGCCTGAGGTCAAGATGAAGGAGAATGTTTTGATACCGACTGTGGTCGCAAGTGCACAACACTGAACTTAAGGTGACTGAACTATGGAATGTTACAAGATCTGTAAGGGGTCCCAATAAAATGATCATGCAAACAAAAATTAACCTGCTGCATTTGGTCAGATACCCAGTGAACTCATCTCTCATGTGATGTGAGTTGGCATTGGTGATTTCGAGGACCTTCTATGCCCCAGAGGCTGGACGTTCCTCCCCCTGAGCTAGATGGACAGACAGACGCAGTGAGTACAACTACAGACCCAAGCAAACGTAACGATATGTGAGGATGATGAAGAACCGGGCAGTGTTTGTTCTGTCGCTATGAGTCGGAACCAACTTGACCCCTGGCACCTCGTATGATGACACCAGCTTTCCTGTCAGCAGGGGTAGGGTTGGGTGCTCCCTGCCATCCCCTTCCTCTCCCACCCCTTCTTCACAATGGAGCCCCTTGATCCTCACTCTTGACCTTCTGAGCATCTTCTGAACACGGGAGCCTCTCTGGTTTATTCCACAGCCAGGACTGCCAACCTCTGGGGGCACTGCCAGGAGCTTTCTGCATCTCAGTGTTTGTGGTGGGATAGAAACAGAGAAACCATTGAACTTTGGCCATGTGTCTGAGAACAGGAATGACGTCACACACCCTCTGCCAGTTGAGTTGATCCTGACACATGGCGACCCTATGTCAGAATAGACGTAGAACTGCTCCATAGGGTTTCCCAGAATGTAAATCATTACAGGAATAAATAAACTCATCTTTCTCCAACTAAGCACTCGGTGGGTTTGAACCCCTGACCTGTGGTTAGTAGCCCAGCGCTTAACTTATTACGCCACCAGGGTTCCTCAGACGACTTCCTGCCTATCTTTATACCTTTATACTTAGTAGAACTTCTAGCATATAATAGCATAATTGGAAGTGGTGAAAAATGAAACGGAATATATAAAGATCGATATGTTGGGTTGAAATGACTGGTATAGGTCATTTTGAATCAGAAAATCGTGTGATTTATTATGCCAGAAATAACATAGCTGAGAGGATTGTGGTGGCATTCATTGTCAGAAGATCTTGCTAAATCCATCATGAAGTACAATGCTGTCTGTGACGGATTCGATCTATCCGCCTTCAAGGAAATCCAGTCAATTCAACTATTATTCAAATGCATACTAACCACAAAAGGCTAATGATGAAGAAATTGAAGAATTCTACCAATATTTCAGTTGGAAATGGATCAAACACGCAATCAAGATGCATTGATATAATTATTGGTGATTGGAATGCAAAAAATGGACAAAGAGGAAGGAATGGTAGTTGGAAAATATGGACTTGGTGGTAGAAATGAAGCTGGAGATCACACGATAGAACTTTGTAAAACTTGTTCATAGCGATTTTTTTAACAACACAAAAGGCAACTGTACACATGGGCTTCCCCAGATGGAACACACAGGAACCAAATCGACTACCTCTGTGGGAAGATGCAATGAAGACCCTGAATAACAGCCACTTAAGCCAGACAAAGGGTCAACTACGAAACAGATCATTGATTGCTTCTCTCTAAGTTCAGGATAAAGCTGAAGAAAAATGAAACAAATCTACAACAGCCAAAATCCGACTTTGAATCTATACCACCTGAATTTCAAGAACAGATGTGACATTTTGAACACTAATGACAGAAGACCCAATGAACGGTGGGAGGACATCAAGACCACAAGTCATGAAGAAAGCAAAAGGTCATTAAAAAGACAGGAGAGAAAGAAAAGATAAAAGTAGATGTCAGAAGACACCCCAAAACTTGCCCCTAAGCAGATAGTAGCTAACACAAATGGAACAAAGGATGAAGTCAAAGAGTTGGATGGACATTTTCCAAGGCCAGCTTGAGAAAATAAAGCAAATTACAATGAAATGTGCAAGAGAACTTGGGCTGGTCCTGAGTTGGCACAGTTAC